GTTGCAAAGTCGTTGCGCATGGCGACCAGGTCTTCCTGTGAGATTGAATTTGCACCATCTTACGCTGTCGTGAATACCGAGTAGTTACGTGCTAGAAAGCTGACATCCACGACACATTGAGGAAGATCTAACATTGCCAGTGCCCTGAGCACAGTAGCAGTTTTCAGAGGCTGGCGGTGCTGGATTCCAGCAGGTCGCAGGCCGCAAGGTCACCCCGACCACATTAGTACACAAGGGTGTGAGACATATTCCTGCACCATCCTGCACTCTTGGGAGTGGCCATAGACCTATGCGTCCTGGGATAGTGGAGAGAATGTCACAAGAAGAGACAGGCATGCTGGCTGCGGGAGTCTAGCGAAATGCAATTCAGATTAAGTAGAGCTGTCATCAGCACAGCCGAGCGACCAAGTCCGCAGCTGCAGTGCAGCCGTTTCATCAACCGATGCCGACCTTTTTGGCATATGCGGACATGCGTGCAGCAACCACGTTCAGCATGCGCATGGAGACAAGGAAAAAAACACGTGGCAGCCACGAGGTTACAGGAAGCATGTAGGGCATAAAGCTTCAGTTCGCGTCTTCCATGGCTCTTGGCAGACACTTCTTAGAGCATAGCTCAGATTGGCTGCTGCGCGGTTGCTGTTTCAATCCTAAACCCGTGCAGTGAAAGTTTCCGAAGGCCACTGCAAAGCTTCACCACAGACTGGCAGTGTGGCATTCGAATGCACTCGGTCAGAATCTATAAGCCGCCGGTGGACCCATGCTCGTTGCAAGTTGTTTTGTTCGGAAGCCACGTTCTGAATCAGGTTGAACAGATCGAAATCGTTGGTGAGTGGGCATGTTGACGATAACTAGGCTTGGAATCTTGGTTGGGGACCGCCGAAGTTGAGCCCAGTCTGAATGCTGCAGTGGAGCAGAATGAGAAAGCACGTGGGACAGGAGTTGGCCTGCAATCCGAGTGATGCTAGACTGCGGCAGAGAGAATGTGCCTCTTTTGCCAATTCCGGCCCTCCGTGCAGCTAACCGTATCAGCCAAGCTTGTTGCCCGGAACCGATGTCCATGTTTACAAAGCTCCACACCTACTGTAAATCTGCTTGCGGCTGTTCGAGCGACAAGCTGTCTGGCTCTTGTTGCAACAAGAAGGCAGAGACGAGCAACGAGCCTCGACTTTCTAACTTCCTGCTGGGCTTCCCATTGACCTCGTCGCGAAGGGCTGACGTCTTTGGACACTGTTTGACGTGCGCTGCACTTGGCCCAGGTATGCTTTCCCACTTGTCTGTTGAATGGCCGGAAGGACAGTCGGAATCATGCCACTGATTTTAGCGTGGCAGATCTGCCCGCACGATTGTTTCTTTCTCTGTGTGGGTGTGTGTGTACGCCTGCGGCATGCGTGCAACCTGCCTCTCAACCTTACGCTCTAAGCTTGCGAGTGTGGTTGTGTGTGCGGGCAGTCAAACTTGACGGTAGCTGTCTGCTCTGAATGTTTGTTGACAATTGCTGATTGCTCGCCCTCGTCCTCTCACAGTCACAAACACACAAACACACACACACACACACTCGCTCTCTCTCTCTCTCTTTCTCTCTCTGTCGCTATCTAGCATCATATTCGTGCTGCAGTTGTTGGCTTTTTCATGCAGTAGTCCCTCTTTAAACCAGCAGTCCAGTCAGTTCTCAGAGGCTCCCGCGGCTCCTGCAGTCGTGATGAGATCACTGGGTTTTTCCTTCTTACTTCGTAGGCTGAAGCCGTGAAGCCTGCTGTATCGGGCTGCTGCCCCGGATGGCACCGTGATGCGACTTGTCATAAGTCGGTTGTGCAAACTTGTCACAGCCACGTCATGCAGACACATTCCCCTGTCCGAAACCTATAGACGAGCACTGTAACCCAAGACCACGATTGCAACTGCATACTGGCATGTCGGCACATCCTAGAAAGCATTTACGAAAGCTGGTTGTTCAGGGATATTTCCGGAGGCTGTTTACCCTCGGCATTCACGGCGCTTGTCCTGGGCACTGTCTGAAGGGTCCGGGACCACCGCGACGGACTGGAAGGAGCGTGGTGGTTTTCGGCAGTCTGGCGTGGTACATCCAATTAGCCAGTACATCTTGCACAAAGGAATGTCGATGTCCACCACGCTCCGCCGCCATCATGACCTTGAAAGGAAATCTGCTGTCGGTTCGACAACGTGAAGCCTTACAGTAGGTGGTTACTTTCTGCGTAGACCTATCGAACCGCAGGTCGAGTGCAGGGCCTTGCCCTTCTACTGTAGCTGGCTGGAACTTGTACATAACCCTCCTGCCGCTGCCCCCGGACCTAGTCGATCCGTGCTCCAATTTCAGCAAGTGAGGTGGGGCTGGCTAGATCCAAGTCTGTAGTTGTACACCAAAAGCCTTACCTATGAACTGAGGAACTGGCAGATCTGACAGGAAGGGGTCGGAAGAACCGCTTGAGCAGTTCTTCCCGACGGTTGCACACTGTTCCCTCGAGGCTTCCGAGCATGATGGCAACAAGATGTCCACAGTATATGTTGCAGTTGGACTCAAGTGCTTGACGAGGTTAGGACGGTTAGGGACGACGTGCTGTGCTTAGATTGCTGCTTTGGAAGGGACCTTCTCTGGCAAGCTGGCATTCGCCGCGTTTCGTGCAGACTTTACCCGTCCGCGTGCTGGATGGCAGCTTAGCCAGGACGCACAGCCATATGGTCCGAGTGCTTCACTCCGAGTTTCAAGCATCAGCTTTGGATTTCACATTTGCCCTCCAAAAATGATTGCGAATTGCCTCGCCAGAGAAAAGTGCAAGTTCCGTGAGACTCTCGGATCCCGACGTAGTTGTTACTGGAAGCAGGTTCAGAGTGCACAAGACGACAAGGGAGGGGTGCGGGGGCAGTATAGTTTCGGTGTAGAAGCCATCCAATCTTATTTGGGAGGGGTGGGGTGTGTGGGTGGCTATGTGCGGGCGGACAGGTCTGTCTAATCGCTGTCATTAGGTTGGGGGCACCCTAAACTTCCTAAACCGTCCTTAACCCTACACCACCACAAGCAGTCTCCAACGAATCGCAGGCTCGTCTGACCAAAAAATAAAGTCATCCGGCAGCAAGGCTTTAGGGCTTAAAGGTTCCTGGCCTAGGGTTTAGGGTCCTGAGAGAGAGAGAGAGAGAGAGAGAGAGAGAGAGCCGCACGTTCCTGTTACGATTATGCGGAATCGGTTCCCGTTACTCCCCGCACCTGCGCCTGTGTGGGCACGACAGACAAGCACCCTGCGCAGGTGGCCCAGGAAGGCGAGCGTATCAGGACCAGAATGGATTCTTTGTTAAGGAAAACTAAAACACACATCACAATATCGAAAGACCGTGCTTAGCGAGGCCGCCCTGGACATTTCTTACTTTCAGAGCTCAGTTGGCTGTGCCAGAACCGTCTGCTGCATGGTTTAAGTGCAATGCAGCGATTTCTGAACATGAGTCTCCGATGTGGAGGAAGCGGCCAGTGGAAGCGGTGATGAGGTCGGTGGCAGAGGCCCGGGCGGCCCATGACAGATGCCAGAATCATCCTGCACTGATCATCGCAGGAAGCCAGCGGAGAAGACTGGGCTGTTCCAGTACGATTTCCACAACAGGCCGCGTAGTTTGAACAGCCTGAACCTTGAAGGAAAGTGGCGTCTAAAGTCTAAGCAGTGGAGAATTGCCCGCCGGAAGTTGGTGCGGTGCCACAGCTAAATGCTACATTCAGTGTCAGCATCTTGTCAACGCCTAGGAGCCTGGTGTCTACAGCAGACTCGCCACCGAAGCGGGGATGGACAAGCCGAAGGACACCGAAAAGGGCGTGTACGCCCTCCTCTCCATGGAGCCCTACACTACTCACGGATCATTTGCCCTCGTGCGGAGGTCCTGCCTGTTGTCAACTTCGTCCGCCTCGTTTGAAAGCAGGAGCTTGAAGCCAGAGACGATGCCCAACCACCGATGCAGGCGGATGCAACAGTGGTGCGAATGCATCACCTTGACTCTGCCGCAGCATCTCATGCTTCAAGCCTCGGAGGCAGCACCACGCCGTGGAATACTCGGGTCATGGTTGGCCGCTGCCTCGCATACTCCAGCTGATCTGCTGATGTTTGCTTCAGCGCACGTGCCCACCCAGGCTCCGTGGACAAGCATGTTCCAGCAGGATGATGAGGTAGAACGTTTAGTCATTGGTCTGTTTCCGTGTGTTCTTCATGATAGCCAACGATAGCACATACCTGACACGAAGCTGACTGCTTTCTTGGATCTCCATTTGCGTGATCCTAGTGGAGACATGCCTCACAGCTTGCAACTGCGCACCCGTGTGGCAGGAGGATGCAGCATGCGAGGTCTGCTCTGAGGCAGAGGCTGTACCAAAAGCCAAAGTGTACATACTAACTGCTACTGGTGCGTGTCATTGACCTAGACTTGTCCGGGAGGGAAGGTTGTCTGTTTGACACCTTTTGCACACTGCTCGGCCACAATGCACGAATTTGTCAAGACTTCATGTTCTCCCAAACAGAATTTCCTGGTCGAAGGATCATCGACCATGCTCCGAGCAGCTTTGCCTCGCTGATGCCTTACATCGTGGTACTTCATTTGGAATCTGCCGCCTGTGCTGTGAGTGTGGCTATTTCCCCGACATCACAAGAGTTCGTAGCCCAATGGACATTTGCACAGACGACGAGCCCATGACTTACAACCCGGCCCAGGAACAGACTCCAGCCAAAGCCTCGGGCACTTGTTGTCAGAGCTTGTTTGGCTCACATTGCTTCGATTTTGCTTGGACATGCTCCTTGCCTTGCCGTCACGTGTCACCGGTGAAACAAACTGGACAAGGATTGTGCGGCTGTGCAGCTGGAACTCGCCACCTGAGCGTCTTTGCAATCAGCTTCTAACAGATTCCAAGTCCTTTGCTGCATCCCACGCGAATCTAGATACGCAAAGGGGTTTGGTACGGCGCTGGGTAGCTTAGACACCGCACGGGGCGAACGGCCAACTGAGTGCATGGCATGGCTGCAAAAGCTGCGGCTTCTGCGCTGCGCGCGGCCGCCGGGAGTAGGGATGTCGCGACCTTGCAGCAGCGGCTTTCTGAGGCAGCGCCGAGGGTGTAGCTTAAGTTGACTCACATTCTGCTCATGTTTGTCATGTTTACTGTGGGAACTTCAGGCTGAGGCTGCGGGCATTTGCGCGAAGATCATCAATTCTCAGGCCCGGCCCGGCTTGCCCGGCTTCAGCACGAAAGAGTCGGAACTGATACTTTGCAAGGATCCAGACACGGATCTCGGAGCATTGTCCCTGTCCGCCCAGCACGGTGCTGCCGACTGCGTGGCAGTGCTGCTGGCCGCACGCACTGGGCTAAGGTCGGAGAAGAGCCGGTGTCGCAGTGACGTAGAGTAGCTGCGGGATGTGACTTCATGAAGTCTACCATGATATTTTCGCCACGAAGATTTCTCCCGTCGCGAATGAGGTGCTGACGTGAACGCTGACTCAGAGGACACTTGTGCAGTTCGGGTTTCAGAATCCCGGTTCCGCCTCAACACAAACACTCAGTGCAAGGGGGATAAGCACTTTCAGGATGCGGGTGGCCGCACAGCGTTGCATTTCGCAGCCTACGATGGGCACGTGGAGGCCGCACAAACCTGGCCTGACCTCGTCGAGCGCGAGTGCTAGAAATACAGGAGAAATTCGCCGATGGAACATGTGCAGAACTGAAGGTTTGGCTGGAAACTGAGGTGGTCCGACTTCTGGTCGCAGCCCGGGCAAACACAAATGTGCGCTGCTCAACGGGAGGCTGGGAAGGACCAAAGCATTAGTTGAAGTGACCTGTCGGAAATATTGCTTGTGGTGTCACAAAATCACGTTTCGTGAGGCAGCAGGTTTGCTTTGATCGCTATTGGTCGGTTTCGTTTTCAAATTATTGGAGCACCGAGCCAGAGGCCTTCGCTCTGTAACTACGCCGCTCTACTGGTCTAGCCGCATGCATTGTGTTAGAAAGAGTCCTATCTGTCCTACATGTGGGGTGGCCTGTCACGTAAGTTCTGAAATCTGCTGCCCTCAGAAACCGCGGAGCAAATCGCGGAGCAGAGGCCTGCCGATGGTCATTTCTTTGGCGGGACAATATTTTTCCGACGCTTCATTTACCCAATTTCCTTACTCTGCAGTAGCTGGGTTCGCGGCACAGGTTTGCGTGATCATGCCAGTTGCCTCGGGGGCTGGAGTTTGCTGTGCATATCCCTGTCATCAACCGTGAGTCAACTTGTTCCTCAGTCTTGGGCCGACGGATCAAGATGTGTGTGCAGTGATCTTCTGTTGCTGAGACTCCAGGGCCAAAGAGTGGAGAATCGGCGGTGGAGATGGCGAGGAGGCGCAAACTAGATGTTGCAGGCACTTGGACTTCGGGCTTAGTCACAGTCTCCCTCACATGCACTGCACTGCGTACGATTGTTATCCCTGATGCAGGATGTGGCAGCTTTGAACGAGATTCTCGAGATACTTCGTGCGTGATCTACGGGGCGGACAGTTTCAAGGGCGACACCAAGCCGAAATCCAAGATCGGCTTGGCTGACGACCGCGTTCGAAAGCTGTTGCTCATCGTGGCCTCGCTGCGCAAACCAACGCTTCGAAAGCTGTGCCCCGGCTCCCCCGACCCATACCACAACACATGGCCCCAGACACTCCCTCGGGAGTTTCTGCAATGGAAGACGCCCTCCAATTGACGAGAGCTGCGGCAGATGAAAAAAGACTGACTTAGCCGTGCACAAACCTTGACTGACCTTCTGAACTTTCTGAACTACACAAGTTGTGCCTCCCCGTGGCCAGTCGCTAGGCCAAGCGCCGCAAGCGCACATGGTTCGGGTGGTGAGCTGGCGTATACAACCCTCCAGAATGGGTGACAGTGCTTGTCTTTCTGATAAAAGTGCTTTTGCCTCCCCAATGCAGATTGCCCTGCTACCCAGCCGTAGGCCTTTGACTTTAATTCGATGAACTCACATCGCTACACGCGGCATCGGTCGGTGGGCTGCATCCCATGCAACTTCTTGCACGACCTGTCCATATGTGCCCTGTCATGAGAGTCTGTGTCATGTATTATTTGGGAAATTCTGTGCCCAACGGTTGCTGCGCGTTGCGTAGCTGGGCAATTCATTGCTGGACGTCACGGGGTGCCCGAGAGCAAAACCTGGCGAAGGCAGAGGCATACTCATGAGAGCGACATTCCTGCTGCAGCTGTAAGAAGGGTCAGTTTGTCTTGAATGCTGTGGACTGCAAGTAGATGATGCTTGGTACCAATTGCCCCGTATAGACAGCAATCTCCGCCTGGCGTACATGAGCTGTCAGCGAGGAAGGAGAAACACTCAGCAGCAATGATTGAGGCGAAAGCAGACCAGTTGAGATCGACGACGCGCCAGCTGCCGATGCTCCAAAGCCGCGATGTGGTTTTAGCACGTTTTAGCATGTTGCATATCCCAGCTCTCAACCTCAAAAAAATGCTGTGCAGAAACTGGATGGAGCACCGTGCATCAGCATTGCACCACAGCATGGTCGGTTCGGCTCAGCCGAATAGCTGCGTGTTGCCATGCAATCTGCGAGGATGGCCACTTTACAAAGGACTTGACGTATGGGTTGTCACGTGTCGTCATTCCAGTAAGTACCTTGCTCCCTCTCATGGCTCGAGTGGCGCCTTTCGGGACAGGCCTTTTGCGTGGGTATGTTTGCGAGGAGCTTGATGTCTGGAAGCTGCGCTGAGCTGCGCACGCCTCAGAATTCGAGTCAAAGTCAAGCAGGCATGACGAATGCTGGTTGAGTGGGTGGTAAAGCAGTGAAATGCCATAAGGGACATTCAACTGTTACACGGACCTTGTTATCCAAGAAACTGTGATACGTCCGACAGCAATTGGCTCCTCCATAACTTGGTGTTCCTGTCCTGTGCAGTGCCGCATCTGTCCG